CTGTTGCTGATATAAATCCTGTAAACAGCATATTTTGTGGTCCAATATTGTAAAACAATAAATTACCATTTGTAAAAAATACAGATTTTCGATTTGGACGTTGTGTTTTGTCCTGTTTAGGGTTAATAAATTAATACTTTTTACTTAACAAGCTATTGAGTGTGTTTTTTAACAAAATGGAAAAGCTGTTAAATGACAGAAAATTGTTCACAAATGTTCACTTATAAACGGTTTGCAGTGCATGCAGATCAGCCAAAGTTTGATGTGCAACCTCCCAACATACCGAGGAGCTCTACCAGTGGACCTGTTGCATTCAAAGGGAAGCGATTTGCAAACAGACACAGTGCAAAAGTCTACCAGGCTGAAAATGTAGAAAACCTCCCTGGTCAGAATAAAGTCAATGACGGCTCCCACTGATGTCTCTTAGTTGAGCACAGTATTATTTACACAACTGTGTTTTTTATTTTTCTTATTAAAATACTGACAAATCTTTACATGTTTTCAGTGCAAATGATTGAAGAACTTTCTACATTGTGCAGACGCCCTGTGAGCCTCTAATGGTGTCTGGTCACGCTGACGAGGTCAAACAGGTTGACACATTCCTCCTGCACAGAAATGACTTGATAAGAGGGAGAGTCGAACAACGCACTAAAAGAAGAGCTGATTTTCAGTCTTGTGTTTTCGCAGCGTTTGTTTGCACCAGGTGGTTTGTTGCTCGTTTTGCTTCAGCCGGTTGAGCATCGAGTGCATTTCAGCACAAAGTCATTTTTCTTTCTTTGTGTTGGTTTGTACAGCGTGAGAACCGAGCAACTGTGTCCACCTTTCTGCTGACAGCTCTGTTATACACCGGATACAAGCCGTACACCAGGGAGGAAACACACACACACACACACACACCAACACACACACCAAAACATAACACAACACAACACAACGCAACACACAAAGAGATCGAGGGGCATGAGGGGGAGGTACACACACACACACACACACACACACACACACACTGGGAAAGGGGTGTGTGTGTGTGTGTGTGTGTGTGTGTGTGCACAAGCTAATTTATGGCCGTGACATTTGTGTGTTTTTGCACGTGCATGCTGCTGCAGCTACAGGATAAGGCCTCTACGTAAAAGCCTACTCCTCTCTGGCCGACTTCCTTCCAGGATGGACTCTGAAATATGGACGATGGATGGTGTGTGTGCGTGTGTGTGTGTGTGTGTGTGTGTGTGTGTGTGTGTGTGTGTGTGTGTGTGTGGAGGTGGAGGTGAACAGTAAATCCCCCTCCTTCCTCCCAGGCATCCAGCAGGCCTCTTCCTTTGCGACCTCGAGGGAGGAGAGAAACATTTGAAGCCAGAGGAGTGCCAACTGGGCCGACTGGGAGGATGGCGGTGGTGATGGGGGGGGATCTGGGTAAAAGGCCTCGTCCTTTTTAATGGGATTCACGTGAGGATGTTGGACGTGGTCGAGGTCTTTGTTCTCTGTCTGCTGGGCGTTGGCAGCGACTTTCGCCCTCAATGATGCGGGTCTGTTTCAACAGCTCAAAGGGAAATTCATCCTCAGATTATTCAGCTGTCTCGCAGTAATCAGATATATTCAGGACTTTTCCGTGTGATCATCATTAAACACAGAATATTATTTAGTACAGAGGTGCCAAAAGTCCCAAAATACCAAACATGCGTGCCTGAATTCCTGCACAAAAGAACTTTTTGAGTAGCTTTTAATATTTGGGATAAACGTATGTGATGCTTTAAAGCTTCACACGACTAAAAAATGTCAGTAAAAGTAATCAGACTTCCCTTGAAAACTTAGATGAGCTGAATCAAGAACTTTAAAGAAGATATAATTCACTTTTTAATAAAATAATACCAGTTTATTAAATTCCAACGTGAAACAGAGTGATGAGCCCACAGAGAACGATCAGCTGACTGTGCAGCTCCACTCAGCTTCTAGAACCTTGAACTGAGTCACTGTTTTGCTTAAAAGACACTGAACACTGTTCACTCAGCACCAGGCAGCAGACAGACACAGTCAGGAATGAACATAGTGCCGCATTTAGCAACCACAGCATCAGGCATTTTCCTTTAGAGGTGGTGGAGACCAAAACTGTAGCTAAAAAAACAGAGTAAATATTTGACTGAGCTTCACCAGGTGGGCATAAAGGAAACTATTTGTTGCTCTGGATGTAAAACACAGGCAACTTTTTCTAACAAGGAAGCTTTCATTTATTCAGATATTCGATTATTCGGTTGTATTTAACGTTTGTCGTTGCAACGTTAATGTCTGGACTGTGATTCACTAAAATACTTCAACGGTGTCGTCTGTGGGAGGTCAGGATTAAAGTTTAATCTGTAAATATTCTGAACAAATATACATATTTTTGTATTTATTTACACATTTTATTGGTCTTTTAACACTTCACTTTTCTACCTAACTTTGTTCTTCCCCTCTCAACTTTTATTCTACTTCCAGACAAAGTCCAAATGTTTGGTCCTTTAGCATCTGACGTCTACATTTCTTCACATTGTTCTGCTGCGTTTTCCTCCAGTCCGATTACAGACTAAAGAAACGCAAATATCAAGTTTGACATTTTAACTTGGGCAAAGTCCATCGTTAAGATGAAAAATTATAAACTTTAAATTGACTTTCCTCAAATTTAAATTGCTCGTTAGGGAGGAATCATATGATCTGAGTACATCTAACTTAAATCAGTGGCATTAATATTAATTGTTAACCTCATTTAGAAATGAGTGATTTAACTTTATTCTCTTTTTTCCGTATGTTTTTTGTTTTTTTTGGTTTGTTTGTTTTTTGGAAATAAAGTTGAAGATGTTTAAAAAATAAAACAAAATCAGCTCTTGGTGATCCTATTCTTATCCTATTGTTCCATCTCTGTGCATTACTTCAGCACTCTGCCCTCCCAGCTGCTGTTTTTAGGCCCAGTTGTTGTTTTTCTTCTCGCTGCTGCAGTGCAGCTCAGTAAAAGTGATTTTTGGGTCATCTGTAAGTGTCGGCGTGTCAGAGCGGTGTTAGCTTACACTACAAACACATCACTTTGGCTGGCCCTCCCCCACAGACCCCCCATCCTACAAAGCATCAGAGCAGCTCACCCTCCTCCTGGTTGCAATATGAATCTGATATGTGATATTCAGTTCAAAAAAAAAGGCTGTCAGAGTTTCTTCGGGGGGATTTTTGTCTGTGACACATGAGCGTCTGAGTAAACTTGCTGCATTTTAGCTTCATGGCGATCTGTCAGCTCCACACACACACACACACACACACCTCGTCCTGACTCCTGCCTCCAGGCGGTCTGAACAAGTCATCGTACAGGAGGCTGAAAAAGCAGAGAGGCTGTTGGGAAACTGTAAGGGAATCTGTTGGGATGGAGGGAGGGGGTGTACTGGTGATCTCTGCTCTCTGATGGACTTCACTTCAGATTAATCTCAGAGCCTGCAGGGGGGCGCCGCTTAATTACTAAATCCAACTCTAACTGCAAGCACATGTTGAAAGAAATGTGATCACACATTTTAGATCTCAGTCGATGGCATTCAAATGAGAGACAGCAGCAGCGCATTGGCTGTAATGTTACAGAATGTACATAGCAGCACGTTGGAAATTTAGTGAAATCAGAAAAAAATCTGTCAATGTAACTTGGAGTAAAGTTATGTTCTGCCATTAATGCAACGTCAAAACGTATGATGATGAGTCTTAAGGCAGACTTATAGAGTTTTAATGAATGCTTTGTTTAAAATCAGACACGTCTGTTAAAAAAGGCAAATTTGTTTTACTTGCATTCACAAGATATACTCTACGTAATGTGGCCTTATTTGATCTTTTCATGCATATTTATAGATAAATAGTCAACGTTTTCTATCCGATGAAAATGAAACCCCAAAGATGCCTCAGTTCATACGAAGGACTTTTGCCCAAAGTTATTTCATTTTCACAGAATTACGTCAGCAAGTTTAATAAAAACACACCAGTAAGTAAAGTATTAAATAAAATCTATATCAACTTAGAACTAAAAAAAAATGTTAAAATAGAAGATTAGACGATGTTCAGTATTATGATTTAGGTCAGACAGCCACATAAATATCAGGATTTAAGATGATGAGTTCTAGTGACTTTTGAAATCAGTCATGCATGTTTTTTTTGTTTTTTTTTAAATAATACTTTGCTTCAATTGTACAGACTTTACCTGTTTTGTTAAATTACAGATAACTAGTAAAACCACAGAAAAACACACATTAATATACATGTCAACAATATTTTTTAAAAATAGCCAAAACTGAACATAATGTCCCCTATTCTCTGAATTTTTACTCGTATTTATTTATTTATTAATTTATCATGTGTGACCATAAAATGAGATATTTGCTGTTATTTTCACAGATTTTTACAGAGTTCACAACATTTAGTTGTTTTTGAATGTATTTGTTTCTATCCTTGCTGCCAGATTTTCCTCTTTTTTTATTTCTTTTTATAGTGCAAATCCAGAGTAAAAGCATTCTGTATTAAGTATTGATTAAAATCATTAAATAAACTGTTATTGAGCTGATGAACTGATCCTAAATGTTACGGATTAAGTAAGACACCACCACTCACCTGCACCTCTGGGGAAGCTGAGGAAAGCTCGATGGAGTCTCCAAATGCAGCCATGGACAGGCGAACCAGATTCCGAAGCATCTGCCGGTGCTCTGCGTCACGTGGTCCTCGTCCGTCTGAGGTCTTTGGCCTCCTGAGAGTCGCCTGTGACGGCGATAGAGGCAGCTCTGCTTCTTTACCATCATGCTGGCGCTTCAAGGTGCTTGAATGTGAGGCCGAGGAAGACGACGAGGCGTTTCTGGCTTTGCGAAGAGTCCGGTATGACGTGGCTGGCGTCAGAGGTAAAGCACCATCAAGTTCAATGTTTCCAGGTTTCCTGAGTGTTTTGCAGTGATGGGGGACAGCTGGAGATGCATCACCTTCTATGTAGCCTTGGGAATGGAAGCTTGTGTTCATAACTGATGGGATTAAGTTATACTGCCTCTCAGTTTGTAGATCCTCTGAGACTGAAGGTGGAGTCAGTGGCTGGGCTTCGCCAGTGTCCTCGGGGCGGTCTTCCTTTCGCCCCCGGATGACGGGAATGAGCTGAATGTCCGATTTTCTGATGTTCTTCTGAGGACGCCGAGGATGGCGGGTGTAGCTTGACTCAGCCTGTCTGCAGTTGTAGGCCCGGTTGTCCCGTTTCTCAGGGCGACAGAATGTAGTCACCAAAGCGATGGCGAGCAGGAGAAGCAGGCACGTAGCACCCAGGCAGATTGCCATCATCATGGTGAAGCTGAGTTGCCCACGGTTTCCTGGTGACGAATTCTTCAGATGGTCCTTGAGGTTGATGAAAGTCACCTCTAGAGTTGCCTTTGTGGTCAGGCTGGGAGTGCCCATGTCAGATACCGAAATGTCCACCTTAAAGGTTTTCCCAATGAGCTCAGTAGCATTAGTCGTGTTAACAAAAAGCTGACCTGTAGCCTGATCCAGAGAGAAGAGTTCATGTTGGTTTCCATTGGTTATGAGGTACTGGAGTTCTCCATTTAGGCCTGAGTCTTCATCTTCAGCCTTTATCGTGGATGCAAGGAATCCAGCAAACCCCTCTCTGACTGAGCGATCAAATGATAAAGTGGTGGGTCCCTCTTCCATGTCATTTCCCAGCTCGGTTACAATCTCCCCTTTGTATGCGTTGACAGGTACACTCAGGGAAGCGACACCCTTCCTTGGTTTTGGCTCCTTGATGACCGGGTAGTTGTCATTTATGTCCTCAATGTTGATCTCCACAGTGGTCGTGCTTGTTAGCGGTGGATGTCCGTGGTCAACGGCCTCCACAGTGAAAGAGTAGGCATGAGATTCCTCATAGTCTAAAGGTTCCTGCACGCTTATGACACCTGTTTTGGGGTGAATTGAGAAAGACTGTGTTTTAGCCTCCTGGTCGATGGAGTTGCTCATAAAATAGGACACTCTTCCGCTGAGGTCCTGGTCAACGTCGTGGGCTTCAACTTTGAGAGCGTGGTAGCCTGCCACGTTGTTCTCCTTGAAGGAGGCCTTGTAGACGGAGGTGGAGAACACCGGGGAATTGTCGTTCTCGTCCAAAACGTGGACAGGCAGGTGTTCAAGACAAGACAAAGAAGGAGTTCCTTTATCCCGAGCGAGGAGTGTGATGTTATACTGCATGATCTTCTCTCGATCCAGGTAGCCATCGGTAACGATCATGTAATTGTGGCCGTGGATCTGTTTAAGGTGGAAAGGGCCAGACCCTTCCTTAATGAGTGCATTCACTTGTCCATTCCTTCCTGAATCTGCATCAGAGACCGTCACCAGGGCAAGAAAAGTGTCCACCGGTGCTCCTTCCAGCACTGTCGCAACGGGTGAGTTGGGTGGCGTCCAGGTCATGCGTATCCTTGGCGCATTGTCGTTAACATCTATAAGCTTGACATGTAGTTTGCAGTGAGAGGGGATTGCATTGGGCCCACGATCACTGGCCAGTATGATCACTTCATAAGAAGACTGAGCCTCATAATCCAGAGGTGCCCTGAGACTCACAGCTCCAGTTTTTCGATCCACATTAAAGAGCTTCTGAACATCTGGACGTGTGTGTTTGCTAAATGAGTACTCCACCTCTCCGTTGGCGCCCTGGTCTGGATCAGTGGCTTTCAGCTTGATAATGGTTGTCCCAATAGCTGTATCCTCAGGTAGTTCCACAGTGGGACTACTGTCCTCAAACGTGGGGCTATTATCGTTTGAGTCCTGAATATTAACTCGGACTAATGTGCTCCCAGACTTGGGTGGGTTCCCTTTATCCCAAGCAACCAGGTTGAGGTCAAAGGAGGCCTGAACCTCCCTGTCCAGCTCTTTAATAACCACCAGCTCTGCCTGTTTTGTCCCACCTGGACCAACAGTCACATCCAGAGCAAAGTGTTGGTTGACAGACAGCGAGTAGGTCTGGAGGCCGTTGGGTCCGGCATCAGGATCCACTGCCCGGTCCAAAGGGATTCGCATCCTGAGGCTGGCGGTCTCTGAGATCTCCACTTCTTGCAGAGTGCCGGGAAAGCTTGGACTGTGGTCGTTCAAGTCCATCACCTCCACACGAACCCGCAGGCAGTTCACATATCCACTTTTTCTGTACAGGACGCTAAAGGCCACCTCGCACAGGTCCGAACCCCGGCACAACTCTTCCCTGTCCAGGTGGCCCTGGGTGGAGACGATCCCTTCCCGAGTGGTAACAGAGAAAGGAAGGGCTTGTCCCTGCTCCACCACCTGGAAATCCTCCAGCAGGCCGCCTTCATCCCTCTGTCGGAGGTCGTCCACCAGCCGGCCGACCTGGGTTCCCGCTGGCTGCTCCTCCCAGATGCGGTACTGGATAGTTATTGATGACGACTCAGAGGAGAGAGCCTCCGAGCAAAGACTCAGAACCAGAAGCAGAGCCAGCAGCATGATGATGTGAAATAATAATAATATTCTGTCTACTGGCTAAGCTAACATTTCAAAAAACAAAAAAAATCTCTGCTCTTAACTGTGAATAACTTCAAACTGGCTTTAAAACTGATTTTAAAATACAAGAGAAAAATATCCCGTCTGTCAGATAAAGGCAATAAACTGACTTGAAACAAGACCGAAAAATGTCTTAAATTACAAGTGAAAACAAAAAAGATTTCCAGGTAAAATGATAAGAAAATCCAGCTTTTCTCGGATTTAATCTACAGTCTCTTCTCACAAGACAAACAACCACAAACCAAAACTGTTGGTTTTGTAAAGCAAATACCTAGAAGCCTGGTCAGGACACAATTATAGAAACCTATAATTAAGATATCATCCTCTCTTTCTTCATTCACTTCCAGCCTCTGCCTGCCTGCCTGCAGTTACTCACTCATACAGCTGCTGGCGTCTGGTCTCCCCGTTCATCCTCCTTGACTCACTGAAGTTTGGCTCCAACTGAGAAAGTTTGGATGTGGGTTTCCACATGCTAGGATAGCTGCAGCCAATCCAAAGGGAGAGGGAGGGCCATATGCAGATGAATCCAGACTCAACACAAAGAAAATCCCTCCTGCTGCCCTGAGGAAACTCTGCACAAGTCTGGAGTACTTTCTGAGAAACATGACACTGCCCTCCGTCACTTAAACCCCTCTCCCACCCGTCGGTTTGCATAAACTCATCACTACCTGCAGTTTGAGCTCTTAAATCAGCTGGAAAATTAGTTATAGCCCAGTGGGACCAAAGCCCGCAGCAGAGCATATATCTAACCTCCATCACCATGACGTATGGGCTGCTCCCACTGCAAAAACACAAACACAGAGGGGAAGATAAGCAGGTCAGGCTTAAATAGTATACATACTATACTGTTTAAATTCAAGTTAAATCCACAGAGACAGTGTTCTTCCCTTTACAGAGAGAAAAAAAAGTCCTTGAAGAGTCAGCTAGCAAGGATCCAAAAGCTCAAAATCCACAAGTCTGTCCTTAATGTGACAAAACCCACATTCCAGCCTCTTCCCAAATATAATTACAAAGAGTCTTGTCTTCAACCACACAGCCACAGAGGTCAAAACATTTCCAGCAAATCACAGCTGATGCTCATTGCTGTCATTCCTTTGCACTTAAAGGTTTGTTTATTAGTGAGCAGAGCTGAGAGGTCTGAGTAGTGTGAGCAGAAATCCTGGTTCATGTGGATCTGAGAGATTATTGGCATCGAAGAGTTGCTCAAAATTCACAATTTACAGCTTGAAGTTTACATGTGACTGAAATAAAACTCAGATATTGTGATTAACAGTGACAAATGAGGGCAATAAGCAGGCATTTTAAAGGGCCAGCGTTGTTTTCATTTGTCATTTATCTTTTTTATATGTTTTGTGTTGTTTGTCGATGTAGCTGAGACATTTAATGAAAAGAAGATTTCCAGAGTTTTGTGTCCAAACCTGACAGACATTTTTTTGAGTTGTTCTCTTCCTCTACAGAACGAAAGGTTTATCAGTGATTCAGTATTTGTTCGTTGTATTTCAAAATCTTTAGAAAGGAAAACAAATGCTGCAGAGCGTCACAGTTTCCTGCTCTGCATTCGTTGCTATAAGCTTATGTTCCACACATTTTGTCCTTCTGTGTCCAGAAGGTGATGTGGTACTGTACTGTGGTTAAATCTGTGGCTCTCCGAGAATTAAAGATCCCTCTGAGCTTTGACAAAGACTAAAAGACAAAAACTGGGTTCACACAGACAAAGTTTAAATCATTTGAAATGTCAACATGAATTGGGAAAAATCTTGGCGTAAGCATTTCTTTGCAATATTTAGGCTAAAATTTGACCTGTATTTTAAAAATATTCAGATTTATGTACGAGTTACATGTTTGATGAGTTAGAAGCACCAACCTCACACTCATTTAAAACTATTTTTATTCTTTAACTGTAAGTATTGATGCCACTCCGTACAAGTCCTGCATTAAAAATGTTACTTCAGCAAAATCTATTTAAAATGTTAAAAGAAAAAGACTCAGAAACACAATATAGTACATCATTAGATTAATATCACCCATGACCAGTAAAGGCCTTGAATCTTGAATCATTCATGTAAAATCAGTGTTTTACTCTTTGCATCAGTAATTTGTTGAGCCGAAGCCCATTTTGAACTTTAAAGTGCAACAAATAATTATTTCCATTCATCCATTCATCTGCTGATAACTTTATCTGTTCATGGATATCTTGTTTAGTTTGTAAAAACAAACAAAAAAAATCAGAAAACTGTGAAAAACGCTGTCAGAATGATCACAATTATTAAAATGTTTGCTGATTGTCTGTTTGTAGACAAAGTGATGAATGGACGAATCAGTGGTTTAAATCAGATTTATTTTTATGTTTTATATTTATATTTTATGAGCTCTTTATATGTTTTGTGCCCAAAGATCTTAATTTGTATCGTAACTAAAGCTGTCAGATAAATGCAGTGAAGTGAAAAAAATATATGTCACTGAAAGGATAGACTCAAGTAAAGTACCTCAGATGTGTCCTTAAGTCATGTCGACAATCTGTAGTTATCATATTCTCTGTTGTTGACATGTGATGAAGATGAAGTAAACTCCAAAGAATCACTGAAGCATAATGCAATAATTAAAACAGGTAAGAACTCAACAAGTTCAGGAAACTAAATAAGTTCCCAGCATGCATTGTGCTTATTTTACAGTATACTCCCCAGAATACCCTGCAGGCTGACAGAGAATCAGGCTAAGGAAGGTTCAAGCCCATCACTTCCATCTGGACTGTTTGAAGCGTGAAGACCACAGAGCTGTCAGCTGCCAGTGAACGACTGGAGGAGACACAACGACTGAAGATGTGTTAAAGTGGACCTTTGTCATGCAGAAAAAGAAGAAAGCATGAATTAGTCTTGCTTCTAAAGATACAAGAACCACAAACAAACAAAACAAGCAAGCAAACAAAATCTGTACGTACGGCTGCATCGTGTGGTCAGAAGGACAAACAACACAAGTTTTCTTCAGCTACAAGGCAAAAATGGAGTAAAGTCTTGAGGAACTGTTTTCAACTGGGCAAGCTGTAAAGATTTTTTCTTGTAAGCGGGTATCTGCCGTGTTTCGTACCGTCCAGAGACGAAGACAACAGACACAACAGATCAGTCACATCAGAGATCATGTAGAAAAGCTGTCTCCATCCGGCATAAAGCAAAGTTCAGTTTAGCTCCCTTCGCTTCATTCAG